TCTTTTTAAAATGTAATATATCCATGCAAACTATGAATATAGATAGAAAATATAGTAAGATAGATATGGCATTTAAATGGGAGACTATTTCTAAGGAAAAATTATATACTGTTTTAGAAGAAAGTAGCACCAGAGATGAAATTCTTGGTTATGAAAATACACCATTCGAAATAAATTGTTCTGGGGTTGAGAGAGCAGAACTTCAACTAAATAAAATATTTAGCTCATGCGCTCATGTAAAATTATTAATAAGAAATAAAAAAAAGAAAAAGCCATGGGAAGATAGAGAATTAGCTGATGTAAAGAAAACTGTATCAAATCTAGCCAAATTATTACGAATAAATCCTTATAACCTCAATTTAAGAAATAATTCTCTTGGTCACTGTAAACTATGTAAAATATTAATAAAAAGAAAGAAAAATCAATTTAAAAAGGAAATTTTAGTAAGCTTTCAGCCCTTAGAGATACAGACCCTAAACAATATTGGAAATTACTAAATCATTAAAATATGAGACCACTAATAATAGAATTGAGCTTCAAGCTGGTTTCCCAGAAATTATTGATCATTTCAAGCATAAAGGAGAGACCGGAAACTATGATAAAGAACTTAAAGCTAAAATTGAAACCGATATATTAAAAGAAACAAATGAACCGTTATTCAATGAGGTAACTGATAAACCTTTTACTATCAATGAAGTAAATAGATGTATACAAAAATTAAAAACTGGGAAAAGCTCTGGTCCAGATCAAATTTCTAATGAAATTATTAAATACAGTGGTGCTGTTACTTATAAAGCTATAACTAAGCTTTTTAATTTAATTCTTGATTCTGGTAAATATCCATCAAATTGGAGAAAATTCTTTACCAAACTTATTCATAAAGCTGGAGACAAGCTAGATATTAATAACTTTAGGGGACTTTCTCTTCAAAATCATATTGCTAAACTTTTTAGTGCTGTTATTAGTTCTAGAGTGGTAACTTACTACGAAGAAAAATTTTCAGTTCATCAATTTGGATTTAGAAATAATCATAGGACAGCAGATAGTATTTTTATTCTAAAAACTTTGATAATAAAATATTTGACAAAAAAGAAGAGTAAACTTTACTCTTGCTTTGTTGATTTGCGTCGTGTATTTGACACTGTTTGGCATGCTGGTCTCTTATACAAATAAAAGAAGGATGATGTTGGAAAGAAAATATTTGAAGTAATTAAAGATATATATATAAGTGTTGTGAATCTTCAGTTAAAATAGATAATAAACAATCTGACTTTTTAAAAATAAATAAAGGGGTCAAACAAGGGGACGGTTTGAGCCCCACATTGTTTAATTGCTTTATTAATGATCTCCATTCAATTTTTGATAGGACGTGTGCTCCTGTGTCCTTAGACGAAACATCAATAAGAAGTCTTGGTTTTGCTGATCATCTTTTAATATTATCAGAATCACAAAACGGTTTACAATCTGCTTTGAATAAACTGGAAAAATATTACTAAAATTAATTTTTCATTCTAGAAATCCTTTCGAGTCAATGTTTTTTCATAAACAAAATCAGTTAACTGAAGTTAAAGAGTATAATTTTCTTGGGAACATTATTGATAATAAAGGAAGACTTAAGAGATCCACACATGAACTATCCAAGAAAGCGCTTAAAGCGTTATTTTCACTAAAAAAATATATGTCTAATTTTCATCATGTCCCTGTCGATTTATCATGCAAATTATTTGATTCACTAATTAAACCCATAATTTTGTATAATAGCGAAATTTGGTTTATGGAAGATTATTACTCAATTTTTAGCCATAAACAGAGCCAAAATGCATGGAACTAACTGTGATATTTTATCCTTGACAGATAGATTCAGCTTTGAGAAAGTGCATCATAAATTTTGTAAAACTGTTCTTGGAATTAAAAAAACCTCATGTAATATAGCTGCTAAGTCTGAGTTAGGACGGTTTCCACTTGACTCCTTTATAAAAACTCAAGTTTTATTATATTTTTGTAGAATTAACTGTCATGAAATAAACCCTCTTGTTAAAGAAGCTTCCAAAGTAAATAAGTCTATGTCTGAAGATGGAATATATCTTTGGTACACTTTTGCCAAGCACATTTTTAAAGAATTTAATATTGATGAAGAAGAATGTGTTGATTTTGATAAACCTTTTAAATAAACATATAAAAATTTCACTTAAAAAAACTTTTAAACATATTGTTAAAGAAAAGTATGATAAAATCACTCTTGAAAAACTTTCAAATATCGATAACAGTTCAAAAATTTACCTTTATAGTAAACATGGTAAACTGGAAGACTACTTGCACAATCTAAACAGTGTTAATAGTCGTCAACTTTTAACAAAATTCCGTGTAAGTGACCATAACTTGGAAATTGAAATAGGTCGATATAAAAAAATTCAAAGCTCGGAGAACACAGAGTGTGTAAAGTTTGTAAAATTTTAGATGATGAGGAACACTTTTTCCTTCTTTGCCAAATCAACGGTAATATTAGAAATCCCCTTATAAATGCAATTAAAACCCATTATCCTAATTTTGACCAGCTTGACTCAAACTCTAAACTTAAAACTATTTTAGATCCCAATAAAGATATTTTGTCTAGTGTTGTAGGCTATATAAAGCAATCAATGGAATTGCGAAAATAAGGTCCATATTGGTCAATTATCTATATACTTATATATATATTATTAATATTAACTTGACTTCTTTACATGTAACACTTTTTTTATGTATTGTATGTTTCTTAATTGTCACTTGTGTATATTATGTTTGCATTTTAACCCGTCATGCAGGATTTCACTTTTTGCAATAAAGTATATATATAATTAAATGTCATCGGAACATACGGCGGGAATTAAACGTGAAGTATACACGGAAATTATCGGTAATTTGCGGATTTTGTGAGTTCATTGAAGACCATAGGCGGATCCAGGGGGGGGGGGGGGGGAGGGGGGGCTGCCCCGCCCCCCTTTTTAGGGAAAAATTTGGTTGATTATATACTTTATTGAAGCACAAATTACACCCATAAGAGGGCCAAAGGCATGACAATTACATGTAATAAGAACAATATAATGATGACATTAAAATTTACATAAAAAATAAAAATAAACTAAAACATTAAACACAACAAATGACCTCAAGTGCCCCCTGCCCTCAGTTCCATAGACTGTTTAATAAAGGAGCCTAAAGATTTCACTTGCTGACTAGTGGTTGGATTTAGTATATATTTCATTTTATTATCAGAAAAATCTTTGTATTGAGTTTTTAAATCATTAAAAAAGACATGTCTTAAATCATCATCTATTTTACATATTAAAAAAAATGGGATTCATCATCCAGAACTTTGCACTTATTAAAAAGTCTTTGAGGGCGTGGAATATTTTTATATCTTCCAGTTTCAATAGCGAGGGAATGATCACTTATTCTAAATTTGCATTTAAGTTTTCTTGTATCAAGATTTGGGTACATCAAATAAAATTCTTGTTTATATTCAGTTTTTATATGCTTAAACAAAAGAAGTTTGCTATTTTGGTCAAGAGATGATATATATAGGGAATCACTGAAGCATGACTGGAGCGGGTCCCCCTTAGGTCAGTCAGCCCTCCCCCCCCCCCCCCCCCCCTCCTTATGAAAAGTTCTGGATCCGCCACTCACTCACTCACTCACTCACTCACTCAGAAGACAATGGCAAATATACTTTTTAATTTGTATTAATTAGTTAAAAATACATGTCAGTAACTGCTAGTAGTCTGTTGTTATTTATGTATTATTGCATGTCATTTTGTTTATTTTCTTTTGTTTCCTATTCTGACATCGGACTCGGACTTCTCTTAAACTGAGTTTTACTGTGCGTACTGTTGTGCGTTTTTTTTTTCTACATTGGCTAGAGGTATAGGGGGAGGGTTGGGATCTCAAAAAACATGTTTAACCCCGCCGCATTTGTTGCGCCTGTCCCAAGTCAGGAGCCTCTGGCCTTTGTTAGTCTTGTATCATTTTTAATTTAAGTTTCTTGTGTATAATTTGGAGTTTAGTATGACGTTCATCATCACTGAACTAGTATACATATTTGTTTAGGGGCCAGCTGAAGGACGCCTCCGGGTGCGGGAGTTTATCGCTGCATTGAAGACCCAATTGGTGGCCTTCGTCTGTTGTCTGCTCTATGCGGTCGGGTTGTTGTCTCTTTGACACATTCCCCATTTCCATTCTCAATTTTATAACTTGATAAACATTGCAAATTAGATGCACACTAAAGGAATAAAACTATACAGTCCTTGTAAAGAAAACATGATCAAATTAGAATTTAAATCTAAATGCACATATTTTAAAAGAATTAAATTTTTAAATTACTGAAAAAAGCTATATATATATGTAAAAACTCGAGTGCGAAATTTTTTCCAACCCCAGATAAAAGTGTGTGTGTGGGGGGAGGTCCAACCATATGTCCCCATTCAAAAGTATTGATGGCAACCCCGGACCCCCTGGATCTGCCACTGCTGGTATTTGTGATGAGTTTAATTTATTCCCGAAGTTCAGAGGCCTTAGGGTATTCTCCTAGTCAGGAGCAGATACCGGTAATGGACACCAGCCTCACAGGTCGGAGTTTGCGCATCTCCTCAGATGTAGACTAACATAGAAGACAGTTTACTACGCCTATAATCTGAGGTATCTTGATTATGAAGTCATGAAGAGCCCTTATAAACACATTTAATGAAGTTTGGGACAGCGGTCTTATTTTATATACGAGTCGAAATTGTAAAGTTGCAAAACCAAATTGAAACAATCAAGATCTTTCAAGGCTTCCGGTCAACTTTTTTTTTAGTAAAACTGCATTCCGTCAAATATTATTTATTTAAAATTGTAGACCAATTCATTAGCTATAAAAATCGGTTTCAATTTCTATTTTATCTTGAACCGTTTTAGAGAAATGACATTAGGAAAACTATGTCAATTGTACACTTCCGTGTTTTAGGATCTATATAAACTAGGTATTCCAGTTAAAATTTAAAGTTACCCAAATGATTATTAAAACCAGGTATATAAATGGCTAAGTGCTTATATTTCTCAAATGTAACACTGATTTTCATTGGTGTATACTATTTGGTGATTAAAAGTGACTCAAAAATAAAACCGTTGATCAACTTTGTCATGTAATGGGAAGTAACTCCAGCTAATTTATACAAATTTTGTAAGTAAAGAGAGGTAACTCTAACTGCATTACTTACCAAACACTGTTATAGTCTGTTTCAAAATAATCAAAGCTTTAAATTTTAAGACTGTTTATTATCTGAAATAAATAAAATCACATTTAGTTTATTTTCATCTTACAAATCTATTCAAAAAGGAAGAGATCAAAATGTCAAACATTTTCATATGTTCATTTTTTGTTCATGTATCCTGGGAGGAATATATACAAATGCAATCATGCATTGGTCCAAGCTGAATGAATCATTGATTCCAATCCACAGGCACTTGTCTCAAATTTATTTTTTACTATATACCTTAATATTAAGGTATATAGGGGGAAAAAATTCTGAGACAAGTGCCTGTGTTCAAATCTGAGGAATGTAAATACTGCTTTTGATTTTGAATAACTTTTAATTAAACAAATGAAATTTTCTCTTAAAATCAACATTGACTTACAGAAGTGATTAGAATTAAGTAACCTTACCATCAAAACTAAATGTTCCATCATCTATATCTTCCAATATTTCTGACAGTTGCAAACAGTATACTTCTCCTGTGTTTTCTGGTACAATACTGTCCCAGTAGCTAATCTGAAATAAAACAATGGTATAATTATGCTATTCATTGGAATAAAAAAATGTGCTTTCATCTACATTTTGCTAAATAAATTTAAAAAAGCATGTGCAACTAGCTGAAGCGTGTCTTGTCCATTGACTATATTGAAAGAAAGTTAAGCTTAGCAGATAAATTATAGTAAAATTGAAAATAACTTTTATGCTTGCAAGGCTTACATAAAAATGTTATAAAAGCATGAATGCAACTAGCAATTAAAGCAGATTATAAAAGCATTAAGCATATGCATGTCTTATTCTCATCAATACATTACAAGCACCAAATCATAAAAACTGTGTCACTGATATTGATATTTTCAGAAGAAAATAAAGAGATAATTAAAAGAGAGTAAAAATTAGAAAATAAGGATAGACCTGTAAATATACAAAGTAACTAATTGAATATTAAGTGCCAGTCTTGGTAAGAATCAGTCTCTGTAAGAATCGGGCAATTTAAAAGAATTTGTGTTGAAAAAAAGCTGACGGTCTCACCATACTATTTTGAATATCATCTTCATTCTCAGTTAGAACTAATAGCAAATTACAGAGTTGGTTCCCCTTAAATGTTAATTTCAAGTGCATTTCAACCAAATTATAACTTGAATTACATGTACCAGAACAGGAAATAGAAATGCATGTTATATTCGTGCATCATTATATATTTTGAAATTAAATTGAAAAACTTGTAAACTTGGGTGGTATCATGTTTTTCATGTTTTCACCACTGCCAAATTCTTAGGAAGACTGGCACGTAATTAATATGCATTAATTTTGTTTATAATCCCTATATAAACAAAATCATTAATTATTATTCGACTATAACTGAGGAACTGAGGGCAAACAAAAAATCTAGGGGTATTTCACAAGAAAACAAAGTGGGTAGTTATTCTATTTAAGATTTCATGCAGGTTCTACATGCAAAATTAAAGGAAAAATGATTACCAAGTTGGTATATATGGAAATAGTACAGTGAATACCATTTCAGAAACATTGTGAGATTAAGGAAAACACTTATATACCCCATGTGTACTGGATCAAAAAAAATTGTGAAATTAAAATTACAGTGAACTGTCAAAATTTTAAAATAGATGATTGATAACCTCAAATTCCCTATCGTTGAAAGAAAGAACTTTGCCCCTCCATGTTTGGTCGCTCCAAGTATGTGAAACATATTTTCCAATGATTCCAGATGGCTGATTTCGTATGGTATTTATGAGATCTTCTGTTTCCTTATTTTTTCCATTTTCATTATCATTCATCAACTTGATAAGGCTTACTAAATTCTCAACTAAATCTTTTGTGTCATGTTGTTTTCCTTTCTTACTAAATTGTATCAAATGTTTATTATTGTGACCGAGATTGATATGCTCTTTCACCATATTAATTTGTGACTTCAAAGCCAAAATTTTATCTTTTTTGGTTCTAATTTTGCAAATATTTTCTTCGATTATCTTTTTATTTTTCCAAATTCCAATTGTTTCCAAATCTTTAAGCATTTTGCATTTTGATAGCCTTCTTTTTTCCTCTCTTTTTGTTTTAGCCTTTTGTCTTTCTTCAATTATTTTTATTCTATTTTCGTGAAGTTTTTTCTGTTTCAATTTGGAATTGTTTATAAATTCTGCATTATTGCGTACTGCTTTGTTTATGATTTGACCTTTTTCAGACTCTTTTTTTTCCTTCAACCATTCTGCTGTTTTATTGTTTTTATACAATAATTTCGATTCTACAGTGCGTAAGGTACAGTGTGGAGCACGTTTAAGTTCAGCGTCAAGTTGACCAAATACTCTCTCCACTGAAATATTGTTGGATGGACATGTTTTCGTTGACTCAATTAAATCATCTGAAGGTTGAAAAAATTTTCCAGATGGAAGGAAATCTTTAAATAAAGTTTTAGATTTTTCCTTTAATTTAATACAAAAGCGTTTCAAAAAAGACTCAGTAGCTGCATCAAGAGAGGATGAATGTTTAAATAAAAGTTCAGTAACAGGATCCAGTGGTAATGTTGGTCCAGGAAGAAGCTGTATAGAATTTTGAAGAAGAAGTGACGGATTTTCGGAAGCTGTTTCTAAAAGTTGTATTAAAAGTTGGTAAATTGGTTCCATCTGTAGAGCATTTCTGTTCTCATTCACCGCTTCATTCCAGTATGGTTGAGTAATAACTTTACAAATAATTCCTAATGCTCTACAGATGGCCAAGATATTGTCATCTTGTAATGCATTAAAAATATAATTTTCTGTAAAATTCAATGTACATTTTGAAGTTTTAAAATAGTTCATCAAATGGCTCTGCAAAAAAAAGGTTCCTGCAGCATTGAAGAAAAGTGTGTTAAAGCGATTGCCACGGAAACTAACAATAGGAATGTTTATTATGCCCTTTTCTCTTAAATAGGTAGGAACATATAAGGGGTCGCCTGTGCCATCTTTGTAAATAAGTTTAGAAATTGATCGAATAAGGTTTTCTGTGGAAGAGAAAATCGGCCTTTCGTTGCCAAACCCTTTTATTTTGAACTCTTTTTCAATATCAACTAGTTCTTTCTTACAAACATCGGAAAACTGTAACAACGGATGTACAGAACATTTAAAAGAGTTGGCTGTATTATCTGTTGCTTCATTCAAAATGTTGTTTACTTTTTGCTCAGTTGCACTTCTATCAGTCATAAAACTTGACACTTTATTAAGAACTGTCCTAGGATCACATATGTTAGATAAAGTCTCATTGACACATGATACATATGTGGTGGCTTTCCCATCTATAACCTCAGCAACACCTACTGTAAAGGTTTTTTCATCTGTTGTAAGCTGGCTTGTGTAATAATGGTGCCCTCGTTTAGTAGTGGCATCTCGCTGCATTGTAAAATAGTCAGGAGATGCCAATACTTCATTCAAATGCTGCTGTGCAACCAGACCAACTTCGGATGACATATTACCTACAGTTGATTTACCTGGCAGGTCAGATATCTCAATGTCAACAAGTGACAGAACTGATCTTATCACTGAATTTACATTATTTATACCAACACCTTTGCTACTGAGGAAATAGTATAATTCTCTTAGTTTGTCAGTATATGGTCTTCCTTTTTTATTACTACGACATTTTAAAACATCTTTAACGGAATCGTTACCATTATTATTTTCATCAGTAGCCAAATCTAACTCGGACCTTAAATTGTCTAATTCTCTCTTGATGGTGTTGCATTGTGTGCTCTTTTCCTCCAGTTTACATATATTTTTCTTTTTTAACTTAAGTTTAATTTTCAAATTTCCAATTTCCTGCCTTTTTATTTTTTTAATCAATTTCGTTACCCTTTTTTGTAAATCAATATTCTGGTTTTTCAGTGCATCATTTCTTTCAAAAAGATAAGTTACGTTCATTTCTGCTTTCTTCAGTTTTTTTTCTATTTCACTTATATGTGTTATACATTTTACAGCCTTTTTCGGAAACAAGAAATCTTTATTCAAAAATTGCTGATATCTGGTTAAGTTTCGCGCATGTTGGAGACGCTTGGCTGTATTATATGTCCTTTTCACTCTTGAATAAAGACTACTTTTGTTGACAGAATCTTTTGGTTTTCCAGATATTTGACACAAAAAGCTATGAATAAGTTTCTGACTTCCGCTAAATTTTTTAAAGGCTTCAATCACAATTTTATGTTTTAATTTGGTATTGGCCTGTGGAGAATTTGACATTTTGACAGTTCAAGGTTTTTCAAATATTTATTACCCTCGTTGCTAAAAAATGTAAAATTAAAAGATTTACTCTATATTTATTCAATTTTCACATCATTTTGAAGTTGTGAACGTGCATTTCTAATTGCAAGTGTTTTTAAAATTAATAAGCATGAAAATTTGGGTATTCTCACCGTAAATAACAGTTATTTCACTTTAACCCTGAGCAGTATTGTTTCCTTTTTTTTAGATGTTTTGTTATGCAATATATATATAGATACGTGATTGCAAAATTCGACATTAAATCTATCTAGGTGTCGTTCCATTAAAAAATATTTTTTTTAGTATTAGTAAATTTTAAATATAGATAAACACAGTCAACTGAAAACTTTAAAAGTATATTCCAAATGATATGTCATGTACATGTATGTAGAGAATATAATAGTATAATTGTGACATGCAAAACATTTTATAAAAAGCTTTCTACAAAGTTTGTTTGGCATAAATTGTGTAGTTTGACATACTGTGAGATACAACAGTTAATAACTTGTTTAATTTCAGTGCAACAATATAATATAATATATGAATAAGTGATAATGGGTGGCAAATGATCATGAAGAATAAAGATATCCTTTTGATAAACTCAAGATATAAAAAGTAAAATTAAATATTTTTGAAAAAGTAATTCAACCAGTATACATTTAAGCAGCAACATCCATATTAGCCAACCTACTTATTCTATAACTCAAACAGTATTTAAAAATAAAATGGTTCGCTGGGCGCAGCTTGATACAAAATGCTTATTTTTGGCCCCAAATTCCTTAACTGTTGGTTCCATAACCCCCAAAATCAATCTCAACCTTCCTTTTGTGGTATTGAACCTTATTGTAAAATTTCATAGAGATCCATTCACTTAAACTAAAGTTAGAGTGCGAAAACCAATGTGTCTACGGACGACGACGACGCCAACATCATACCAATATACGACCTCAAGATTTTTTTGCGGTCGTATAAAAATTGGAAGTATCTCACATTTTATTTCATACATTTAAGAAGTCTTTCAGAATGAGAAGAGCCAGTATCAGAATCACTTGACTCTTCATTCTGTTTCCTTTTTAAACCTATGAAAATAGATGTCTCCTGCACTTCAGATGGTATTTCAATTTCAGTTTTACTGATGGTAGGGTTAATCAATTCAGCTGATGCATGTGCATGGCTTAAATTAGTTGGACACTGTGTTTCAGCATCACTTAAACTAATACCATCTGCTCCCTCAGGCTCAAATAGCAACTGACTGTCAAAGTCATCAAATTCAAATGATTGAAATGACTTCTCAGGCAGGTACATATCTGTCCTAGAGAAAGAGGGCATCTGTGTTTCATCATCACTAAATGAATGTGAAACAACAGAAGCCTCACTTTCCCTGGGTAATTCAATTTCATCTGAACGAGAACAAACAAGATTTTCAGGGTTATTTCCAAAAGTCATGTCACATGTTAGTTCAGATGTTGTGACGTCTTTCACACTTTCTAATTTATCTGACCCACTCATCCCCATAGTAAGAGAATCAGTTAAATCATTTGCACATGAACTTGCAGCAACAATAATGCTAGAATATCTTCTACATACACAACAGGTGCATGCTTCACCTAGATAGGGAACATGATCTGCGAGAGTATCTGAAATAGTGCCGTCTGGCAGTATTTCACAATAATTCCCAGTTATGTATCTATACATAATGGCATAACGACAATTATCAAAACTGTAAAATGTCTGCCAATTACCACCCAGGGTCAAGTTATCACCTGTTGCCATTTCTGTAATGTGCAATAAAACAGTATTTGTAATATTTTCACAAACTATTTATGTCTATATTTGACATATTTTTCTTCCTTCACAACAAACCTTAAGTTATTGTCTTTCAAATCAATAAATTAAAAAAAAAAACAACATGCAAATCAAGCAAAAACAAGCAGTTGTATAATAAGTTTTAAATATTTGGTTTAAGACTTACATGTCTGTCAAATAGCTGTACTAGAGCTTCAAAATGTAATTGTCTGGCTCAATTTAAACACCCTCTATCTGTAAAAAATCAAAGATTTTTATACATTTTGCATATTGAATTGACAAGTCTCAGCTTTGATGAAATGTCTTTTATGTGATTGCTTTGTTGATTATGTTTTCTTTTTAAATCTGATTAATAAAAAAAATCAAAATATTGCTCATTAGACAGTTAACAAAGGGAAGTAATCCATATATTAAATTATTATCTCCCCTTTTAAATATTGGCATTGACTGTTCATTATTTTCTGTAATGTGTTATTATTTCTATAACCTTATTGTCTTTTAAATCATTGTTATAATTGTTTGTTTGATATCTAGCAGGAGTTGGAACTCCTATTGTTTTATCATAATCCAGCCACCTTACCAAGTTGAAATTGTATTTCTTAATTGGTTAATAAATACAGCAATGTTGTTTCATGATCACCTATTATAAATAATGTTACAGTTCTAGCTGGAACCCTCAGGTTACATAACACTTGGATTGCCTGATTAATGGTCCACACGAACATGTGTAATAACCGTTCACCATGCTTACATGTTACAGAGCCAACTAGCATAAAGCAGAGGGTGACTAAGGACCAAGAGGTGCATAAACTGTGAAGCAAGACATATTTTGCTTATTTACATGCATGCATTGAATGTGTATGGTGAAAGAGAGAGAAGTTTGTGCACATGCCATTAGAAAAATTTATTAGAAAGCATGTTATATTGTTTGCAGTTATCAATACTATCACAAAGCATACCAAAATGAAGAAAACACCAAAATCTTTCTTCGATAGACCTCTGTTATCAGCAAATCTAAAAATCATAGAAATCCAATATTTATTATAATTCGTGATATTGGTATAAAGTTAAATTGACAGTAATATAATAATCATCTTATTTATATTTGAAAAATCTGTTTTTTAAATAATTTTTAAGTTATCTGCACTCTTGGTACAAAATTGAGTATTTTCAAATTATTTCTGAATTGTTTTGATTCTTTGGTCCGACCAACAGCTCTGATTACCTTAGCAGTCATATTTTTCTGTGATTTCCAAATAATATTTTTGGTGTTTATTCTTGTTCTAGTTTTATATATGTTCTGCATAGGCAAAGGGTGCTGTTTTATGTTGCCATGTTTTTTATATAGATTATATCGTTGATTTTTTTTGTTTGAATGGTTTTACACTTGTCATTTTTGGGGCCCTTTATATCTTGCTGTTTGGTGTGAGCCAAGGCTCTGTGTTGAAGATTGTACTTTGACATACAATGGTTTACTTTTATAAATTGTGACTTGGATGGAGAGTTGTCTCATTGGCACTCATACCACATCTTCTTATATCTATGTCAAACTGGTTTAACCCCATGGCATTCTGTATCGTGACCAGGTCACGATTTCTAGACCATATACATGAGTTGTTTTTGTTATATTTATTTTGGTGAAATTTAGTTTTCTATTTGTATGAAAATAAGCATATTTTGTTATTAACATTTTATCATTCACTTGCATACCAATAGGAAAAAACTGTTAAACTCCTCTTGACTGGCTCTTTAATTACATGTTCACCATTTAAATCTGAACAATTATACCTAAAAATCAAAGAACACCATATATAATTTACATGTAATCATCATTCCATTGTTAATTCATTAATAAGTTATAGTTACTTTATGCCTTTTTAAATAAAATAAGTCATATTAATAGTTCTTAATAAAGTTAGAATTAGTTCCCCTTGGCTTATGCCTTTTACTTCTACAAGCATTTTTTCCAGACCTGCACACAAATAAATGGAGAATGTGTCCAATGATGCTATAAAGGGACATAACTCAAGAATAGTAAAAGTGACGCTACCTAAATTTGCACTTGATCTGATTTTTTTTTACTAATAAGCATTGTGTGTACGTTTCATAACATGTAGTTGAGGCAAACCTTAGTTAGAGAACCGAAACAAAGTTCAGAAATTTTAGGATTTGTAATGGGGCTTAACTCTAGAATGGTAAAAGTGACACCACCAAAATTTAAACTTGATATGTGTTTTGTGGTAATATACATTGTGTATAAGTTTCATAATAATGGCTGAGGCAAACTAATGTAGGAACAGAAACTAAAAATTCACATTTGGTTTCATTGGTAAAGGGGCATAACTCTAGATTGGTAAAAGTGACACTACCAAAAGTAAAGTTGATCTGTGTTTTGAGGTCATAATATATTATTTATTGTTTGTTGATTATTTGTTTCTACCTAACACCAGTTTAAGACAGATTAATGTTTTTACATTGCATATTTGTATTTGTGCCACTTCCTAAATTGTTTGTTTGGTTGTCTCATTTAATGTACTTTAATATCCCATATCTTCTTATAATTGTATGAGTTTTACTTTGTTTATAATTTAATGGTTTTGAGGTTATGGTAATTGAAATATAAATATCACTTTTATAAGCCTACTTACCAAATTTGAAAACAAAATAAGAAGGTGGTTGTCTTCTGTATCAAAATATCAACTAATCACTATATAATACAAGTAACTCCTACAACAAAGAAACAAGTGTAGGCTGCTATTCAATGTCAAATTAGAGCATTGTTGCATTAAATTACTTAAAAAAGAGACACCAATCACTATCAAAATAATTATTACCATTTGGTTGCACAGTAGATAGATAATCAACTTTTAAGAGGACCTCATAGAAGATTACTTAAGTTGTGATACCCTTATTAAATATAAAGACCATTTATCATTAACACATTGATCAAAGTAATCCTGCCTCTTGGCTATGTACATTGTGTACCAATTATTATAATGACCCATTGATTACATAGGGATTATAATAACAAACATTTGATTATATAGGGATTATAATAACAAAGCAGTTAATTAAGAAATAAATAATAAGCAGGCCTTAGTTGAAATATTCAATGACCCTCCACTTTTATATAAAACTTGTTGACAAAAAGCTGATGTAACCACTTTATCTTATGAGTATAATTGTACAATTTTGAGAAAGACATCTTTTCAACAATAGGGTTCATATAAATAACATAGACACTACTTTTATTTCACATGTTTAACTTTGTTCCTATTTCAAAAAAAATTATCAATGCTGCACTGCACTATCATATCATATCCAAAAAAGTCTATAGTATAAGGGGGGTAACTCGAGTTGCCTAAAACCTGTATTTTTCGTAGAAACCTAGTCGCCGACGACCGACTGATTTATATCCATACATTTAGATAAATTATAATTAATATACATTAATAAGTATAATTTGGTATGAAGTAGCCCGCAAGCTTGATGCTGTTTAATACATTTTGCAATAAAAATGGCAGTGTCCGTCTTTCCGACCTCATCGTTTAACAGGACTATTTTCCAAACGCAAAAACCAGTAGAAAACTCACGTGTATTAATAAGATTTGAACAAAAACAGTTAGGCCTTACCTTAAACAATTATTACATTCAGCAAATATTAATATTGGTCTGATGGTTGATGTAAAAAGCTCCTTTCGAAATGGAATACCGGCAAGATTGTGAAAAGCATGAGAATGAGAATACCGGAAGCAATAAATTTTTCGTTCTTTTAGGGCGCCACCTAGTGACCATTGGAATAGCAAATTTCATTTTAAAATTACCAATTTATCTCTTTTGATAAAAAATAATATAAAAAAGATACTAAATTTTTGTTCGCGTTGCTTAAATATGCAAATATTTCTTCTTTTATATCAGAAATAATCCAACTTCAATTGCAATCAGTCATAGTTTAATGCATTCAGATAATTACTTAAATTGGTATAAGATATGAATAATTTAAGGTGGTACCTAACACTACAGGGAGATAACTCAAGTAAAAGGGAGAAAAATCAGCTAAACGTTTTAATTACGTTGTGTTGTTAAGGGAATATTAAGCTTCTCAATGATCAAAGTTAGTGTTTGTCAAACTGCTATATAACCAGTCTAATTTTTCTGATAAATTGGTTGGTTCAAATTTTTTGAAATTTTTATATTTTTGTCAAAGGGTCAAAGTAAATACTTTGTCAAAATTTTATGAAAATTAAACGAGCCAAATTAATTTTAGTGAAGGTGTTGGGTACCACCTTAAGGATAAATATACATACACTATTGTTTTTATTAAATAAGAATTCAATAATTTCTCTTTTTTAATGGAAATTATTGGAACGCCTATGGCTTTTTGTACTTTTTATGGTTCAGGATTGGTACTTTTTTTATGCGGGGTTCTTTAAAACAGCTGCACAAGTTATTTTTGCCTGTAACACTGTGTTTATACTGTACTTGTTGAATGAGGACAAAGAAACAACTCTAAACTATCAGCTTAGTAAAACAAACACATGTCTGTTTTGTTGTCAAATTTTAAATTAAACTTTTTAACAGTATTGATTTATTTTATATTGTATTAACTCATGTAGGTGTGTCCTTGCACAAAAAACGTCATACATGTATTGTATCATGAGAACTGATAATACATGTATACTATTGGGGACATATACAGGTATAGTATTGGGGACATGTATTAAAATTTAAAAGCGTAGATATCATGCTTGAGGTTTTCGTTTACAAAAGTGACAAGCTAACTCTGATCAAGCCAATATCTTGATAACATAGCTATATATATAAAATTATATAGTTATATCGATAGTGGGTTTGTCTTCATTTAAATTTAATGTGTAGAGTGACTTGGGACTTTATCAGATTTTTAAAGGTAAGATTGATAAATTTCTAGCAAAAAAAGGCCAAATTTGTGAATTAGAACTAATTAGGAGATCAAGAATCATAAAAGGGGAATAACTCATACAATAACTGCACCACTATTATATTGCATGTATTGTGTACCATTCTATATGTTACAGGCCATTGGAAGATTAGGTGGTCAACAAATGAGGCAGGAGTGTGATCATATGAAAACCAAACCTTTAGATCAAAACAATGAAGAAATAATACTGGACATCAAACATTCTAGAAAAGAAGTCCAGTTGCTAAAAGACTCATTAGAAAGTCTGAAGCTGTCACATACGGAAATGATAAAATCTCATGAATCACTTCAAGAAAACCATGCAGTTGTGACAAAAGAAATAGAAGAAATAAAGATCTATCAGATAGATACTGTACCTTGGAATATTAGAGGTAAACTGTTGAAGGGGACTTGGGTTACATCTACTCCATCAACATTAACTTTTTAGGTCACCTGGCCTGTAAGGGCCATGTGAGTGACTGTTATCACTTTGCATCAGTCCTTCATTAGACCATTCATCATCTTTGAAACCACTTGGCCAAATTGAAATTTTGCAGGAATAATTTTGGAAATTCCTCATTTTGTTATGATAGGAAGAGGAACATGGCCGCCAAAGGCAATTCTGATTAGTCAAATTATATCAAATACAATAAATGTAGTTAGAAGAGCTTGCACATTACACATGAAAAAATGTTTACATATATATATATATATATGTTCCAGATCATATGAGTAAATGAACTGTACACATGTAGTCATGACCAAAAGCATGTATAAATAAACTCATGGTCCGAACATTCACTTGTTGTTGAACCATGTGAGTATATTCTAGTTTGGCTATTAGCAGTTAGACTGTAGGAGTATTCATACCATATAGCCATTTATGAATATGTCCACATGTCTGTGTCCAGGCCAGAGGAAAAGTTTCGATTTGCACACGGCACACATACACAGACTATATTATAGATCGCCGGAAGTCGGTTTGTCTGTTAAAAGATGACGGTCAAACTGTCAACATCAACAAGCCCTTGGTTTGATTCCTCTGGAATTTGGCTTTTCTGTATCAATAAGAATGTCTACACTGTACAAATGGGAAACTGTCCCAGTATAAATGTAAAAGTTCACGTAGCACCAGCAAACAAAAAACCTGGATTATGAACTTCATGGAAACACATTTAAACAATTAGGTCCAAGGACACAGTTATCGTCCTTTGGTTTTCGTTGTCTACAAATATAGTCCCTAGTGTGAACAGTGTATAACTTGCATTTTTTTTTGATACACTTTCCCAATTTATTTCTTGATATTTTATGCATGAAATATTAAGTAAGGGGATGAAATTACATGTTAAAAAAATTTGGGTGCTGAATCTTTATGTTAAGTAGTGATTTGGTCCAGTTAAAAAAGGTCAAAAATTAGAATGTCTGAAGCTGTCAAACTGAATTTTAGCCCCCCTTAACACAGAATTGTCAATATTTTGAGTTAAAGCTGGTAGAAGTTTCTATAATTTTGATATTATTTGTATCAATAGTAGTAAACTTCACTGTAAAAATCTTTTTGAGATAGAGCAGGTGTGATTTTTTTAATTTGAATTTATTGTCTAAAAGAAATGCACTACGAAATAACTGTGTTCTCAGGCCTAAGAGATGAATTCCATAAATGTAGATTCTGTACTTTGGCAACTTTCCTGAATGGTTTGCTGGTTTCAATTTGTCAAACTCAATAAAAGTAAAGGATTTACATCTTTGTTTGACAGAAATTCTGTTAAAATGTCCAATTTTGGCATTATACGGCTAAAATAAGCATTTTAAAGCAGTTTCCATTTTATGCCTAAGAGCCATGCTGACTTTCTATCTGACAGCTTTTTATGTTCCTGATATTTGTGTTTCTATGCTTAAATCAAATTTAATTAACCATTTGTGAACTCGGAATCTAGAGAAAAGTAGATTATCACAGAAAAAATGTGCAGAATATTTGTATTTATGTCCCTGGTTAAACGGCCTGTTTGATGTATGTGAAATGTGAAGAGCTTTGTACATAAAATCTGTAGTCCATCACAAATATTTCACTAAATCTGTAAAAAAAACACTTTACAATGATCAGTACACCCTATTCATTTCATATGCTACCATAATTTTCTTCTTTAGGATAATAAGTGGTTCAAATATATGCCAAATGAGACTAAAACTACATGCAAGTTTTCCATTGAAAAGTGAAAAACTGGTCATCAGACCATACTGTCTGCAAAAAAAAGTTGAATTCAAGAGTCCTTTTGCAATTAGACTTCTTGTATCATGACATCTTAGCATAGAAATGAGCAAAAAGTAACAAATTTCAATTTCTTATAGCCTCTGTGTGCATTTTTATATGTAAATATGGGCTACGGCCTAAATCGACTCTAAATAATTCTCAGTCTTACATGGCCTAAGACCATTTTATACTCATGTGGTATGCTTTTTGTAACTTTTCTTTACATTTAAAGTACATTTAATATATATGGAAGAATAATGTATGGTTAAAAAACTTCACAAACTTCAAATTGGTTGAAAAAAATGCATGTTTATGTAAGGCTTCCCTTAATTCAAAAATCTCTATTTTCAGGCACAGGCTCATATAAATTTGACTTTTGAATAACTGTAATAAATCTGATAAATCAAATGAGTGTTCCGTTGCTTTTAATACTTATTATATTAAATTCAAGAGTATTTAAAAAGCAAGTTTTTGCAATATTTAAATTTTTAGGCCAAAATCTTGACAGTTGAAAATATTTGATTTAAACGTCAAAAATAAACCACCAAATTTCAATATTAAAATGGCCCTAGTTTCTATAATATATATCCTATGGCCATGAAACTTGGCCACCTACTATCTTATAATTGCCTAAGCTTAGGTCATGCAAAGTTTTATTAAAATTGGTCAAGTCTTTCTATCCTATTAGGTCCAAGGACACAGTTATCGTCCTTTGGTTTTCGTTGTCTACAAATATAGTCCCTAGTGTGAACAGTGTATAACTTGCATTTTTTTTTGATACACTTTACCAATTTATTTCTTGATATTTTATGCATGAAATATTAAGTAAGGGGATGAAATTACATGTTAAAAAAATTTGGGTGCTGAATCTTTATGTTAAGTAGTGATTTGGTCCAGTTAAAAAAGGTCAAAAATTAGAATGTCTGAAGCTGTCAAACTGAATTTTAGCCCCCCTTAACACAGAATTGTCAATATTTTGAGTTAGAGCTGGTAGAAGTTTCTATAATTTTGATATTATTTGTATCAATAGTAGTACACTACACTGTAAAAATCTTTTTGAGATAGAGCAGGTGCGATTTTTTTAATTTGAATTTATTGTCTATAAGAAATGCACTACGAAATAACTGTGTTCTCGGGCCATTAATTTTCCGTCAAATATACATGTATGTATTTTAGGTTTAGATTTAAACATTTAATTGGCCTTCAAAAGATATTTTTTTTATATTCTTTTATATATTTTTTTGAAAAAGTAAATAAATAATAAAATTAGTACATGTTTTGGTCTATACTGTATATATATTGTAACGTTGGTAGCCTATATATATTAACTAGAGACAAGCCATGTGTACTGGTTAACATACTTTAATATAATGCTTGAGCTAACTAATCAACACAAATACATATTGCAATACGACGTGCCCTTATCTGCTATGTCTATCAACACAACACGTGCGTGAACTCTTGAACTATATAAATATTTATGAATGAATGAAAGTTACAATACTACATCTCTTACTTTCTCAGATTAAAGTTCTACTTTGATTAATTATATTACTGTCTGTGTAGTCATACAATCTTTAACTGTCTGTGTAAACAAATAAGTGATAGAAT